ATGGTGTTTGGTCCTCACAGTCATGTAAAAACCACCAAATAAAAAGAAGAAATGGATTAAAATCCCATATGAAAAACTTTCTTTGGACTTGAAAATTTTAAAGAGCGTCATATACTATGGCGAGAGTGTATATTGGCACAGACTCTTTGCAAAACAAATTTGTAATATCTATTAAGGATGAAAATAGATATTTCTCATTAAACAGCCCTTCCACTCCTAGGAACATGTTTCAGTTGGGGATTTTGAGAAGGGGAATTTTATAGACTGAATGGTGTCCCGCTAAAATTCATATGTTGAATCCCTATTCTCTAACACCTCAGAGTGTGACTGTGTATGGAGACAGGGCCTTTGAAGAGGTAATTAAGTTGAAATGAGGCTGTTAGAGTGGGCCCTAATCCAATCTGACTGGTGTCCTTATAGGAAGAGATTAGGACACACAGAGACACCAGGAATGTGTCCATATGGAGGAAAGGCCATGTGAAGACACAGAGGGAGGATCATGTGAGGATGCAGGAGGACGTGGCCATCTGCAATTTCAGTAGAGAGGCCTCAGGAGAAACCAAATCTGCTGACAGCTTGATCTTAGGACTTCCAGCCTCCAGAACTGTGAGAAAATAAATTTCTGCTGTTTAAGTCACCCAGTCCGTGTTGTTTTGTTATGGCAGTCCTAGCAAACTAACACTGGTCAGGAACAGTCTGTGTTCTATGTGTTGATATGAGTAGTGGTTATATGGATTATAGTTCATAATAATTCAGAAATTTGTACATTAATGTTTTATGAGTTTTCCTGTATGTGTATTATATTTCACAATAAAAATGTCTAAATCTAAAACATGTTACTGAGGAAGACTCTCAGAGATCTCCAAGAAGTAAACATAAGAATAATCTGTAGGGATTCAATACTCTCCCCTGTTCAAGCCTACAGCTGAGTTCTGTGTGTGCTTCTCAAGAGGTCATGCCCACAGCTTAGCAGGGCAAACCGACTCATTTGGCCCTTGGGCTGGAAGAAGCCACCCTCCCTGCATGAAGCGGACACTAGTCAAATATGTGCTGGTCTACCATGGGCCTGTGGTTAGGAGATAATCTGTCCCCAAGAGTCACTGTGAAAAAGCAATAGAACAAAATGAAATTGACACCGGCTCAACACAATGTTGACATAAGGGAAGCCATTTTGTAGAAAAGAAACCCTATTGTAACTTTGAATGACCTCTAATTAACTAGCCCAGATGTGCTCTGTGGATTTTATGGCCCCTCCCATCTTCTATAAGTTGAAAACCTTGTCCTCTTTGAGTTCCTTTGCAATGTGATGACCCCTGGGCTACAGTCTGTGCTGATAGCCATCATCAAGGACAACTAAAAGATCAGGGTATAAGGGCGTTGCTCCGGTCTCTGATGCATAGCCAGTAAAACCAAAGACAATCAGAAACTAAGACCAAATGTCTGCCCCCAGCTGGAGGTCAGATGGATGCCCCCACCCAGAGACCTAATGCCTCCTCCACCCAGAGAGCAGCCCCCTATATAACTGACCTGTAATCTTTGTTCTGTAAGATGGTTCTTTTGGATGTGAGTCGGCCATCTTCCCTCTTGCTAGCAAGCTATAATAAAAAGTCCTTTCTCGGGTCTGGCCCTGTGGCTTAGCGTTTAAGTCCACTACTGGTGGCCCGGGTTCGGATCCCGGACGCGCACCGACGCACCGCTTCTCCGGCCACGCTGAGGCCGCGTCCCGCATACAGCAACTAGAAGGATGTGCAACTATGACATACAACTATCTAGTGGGACTTTGGGGGAAAAAACAAAGGAGGAGGATTGGCAATAGATGTTAGCTCAGAGCCGGTCTTCCTCAGCTAAAAAAGAGGAGGATTAGGATGGATGTTAGCTCAGGGCTGATCTTCCTCGCAAAAAAAAAAAGTCCTTCCTCTCCTATCACATTGCCTCTTGACTACCGGCATGTCTTGCGGTCGGCAGATGAACCCCCTTTCTGGGCGGTAACAAAAAGACACACATGCCACCATCAGGAGCATAGTGGCCTCATTGTAGGATTTCCCTTCTTGGAAATAACAGTGCTAGATGTCATTCTCATGGGCTGTGACATTGCGGATATTTAGAGCCACACTCCCCTTGCTGATCTCTTCCTTCACAAAGGTTGTTCTTCCTCGGTACTCCTCCATCTGCTCCTCTGTCCTCTCTCGCCCCCCCTTATACACAAGCACTGCGGGGGAGAACTGAGACCTGAACCACCGCACCTCCATGACCTCAGCAGTTTTCTCAGATGACAGGTGGCAGCTTAACATGCTGTTTCCTCCCACCATGACCAGGATTGGACCAGCTGGCCCCACGACAGTAGACTAGTCTGTTTACCAAAGGTTTAGAATCAGACAGGGGCACCAGCATCACATATCTAAGGCAGGAAAGGAAGTGCATACTCCAGGGCACAGACAGAATCTCTGTCTATTTCTAATATATCCTTTCAGACATATTCTTTCTAAGGCCACAGGGTCTTCCTGGGCTGAGGATTCTGGGGGCCAGTAGCTGTGGCTGGTCAGCAGCAATAGATACCTAGTAGGAGTATCTACTGAGGCTGCTGATGCTTCCTGAACGAAACACTGAGAAGCAAACACTGAGCACCCTCTGTTGACTCTGTGCTTACAGAAGTGTCCTTCCATTCCCCAATCTAGCCCAGTGCCTGGAATGGAGGATAAACTTGAGCTGTCCAATATCAGAGGGAATAACTTATCCCAACTAAAATGTGCTATACATGTAAAATACAAACATACTACTTTGAAAATTAAGAATAAAAAATAAGTTATATAATTTTAAAAATTTTATATTAAAATCTAAATAATATTTTGATTATATGGCATTAAACAAGATATATCATTAAAACTTATTTCATAGGCTGCGTCCCACATGCAGCAACTAGAAGGATATGCAACTATGACATACAACTATCTACTGGGGCTTTGGGGGAAAAAAAAGGAGGAGGATTGGCAATAGATGTTAGCTCAGAGCCGGTCTTCCTCAGCAAAAAGAGGAGGATTAGCATGGATGTTAGCTCAGGGCTGATCTTCCTCACAAAAAAAAAAAAAAATTATTTCATTCATATACTTGTTTTTTACTTTTTTAAATGTAGTTACTAAAAAATTTAAAATCATGTGTGCAGCTGGCCTTTGTGACTCTCTCAGAGTGTACTCTCTCAGAGTGTCCTGGGTGGGACTGAGCCCAGTTGCCCACATGAAAATCAACTAATTAATGTACTCTCTATGCCATTTTTTACTTAGTTGGTGTTTTTCCTTTTATTTATTTCCCAACTTGGGTTTCCTGGGATAACTTCTCAAATAGCCTACCTGAACCCAATCCCTACACTCAGAGTCAGCTTTTCTGAAACCCAAACTAAAAGATGGGATTAGGTAGAAATTTCACCACACATTGTATCCAACACTGAAAATTATCTTTTCAGGAGAGGTACACTCTGACATGTATACCTGAGTCTAGCAAGTGGAAAGGGCTACAGACAAATTTTCCAAAAATTCACAAGAATCTCCAATCATGGAGGCCCTAAGTCTACACAGGGGCCTACCAGGATGGAGACCTCCCCCTCCTTCAGAGTGAGCAAGGCTGTGACTATGATAAGCATACTAGGCTAAATAGTCCACACCATCATCTCTGCAACCTGTCAATATGAGACATTATTTGGCAAAAGGAAACTTATAGATGGATTAAGGTTTTGGACCTTAAAGTAGGGAGATTATCCTGGATTATCTGGGTGGACTGAATATAATCACACCATTTCTTAAAAGTGGAAGAAAGCAGAAGAGTCAAAGAGATTCAATGGCAGAAGAAGCAGGAGAGATTCAAAGATTTAAGGGACTCAAGCTGTCATTGCTGCTTTGCAATTGGAGGAAGACGATCACAAGTTGAGGAAGGTGGCAGCCTCTAGAAGCTGAGAATAGTCCTTAACTGAAAGCCGGCAAGGAATGGCAACCCGAATCCTACAACTGCAAGAAACTGAATTCTGCCAACAATCTGAGAGAGCAAGTAAACAGATTCCCTAGGGCCTCCAGAAAGGATCATAGCCTGCAGACACCTTGATTTTAGCCCAGTGACACCCGTGTTGGACTTCTGACCTACAGAAATGTGAGATAATAAATTATGTTGTTTTTGGTCTCAAAATTTATAGTAATGTGGTATAAGCAAAAGAAAACTAATACAATAAGGATTTTGTGAAAATGTTGCATGAAGTAACTGTGAAATTGTGGTGAATAATCTGTGGTAGCTTAAAATCTAGAAATAGGTCAGTTGAAGAGTGAAGATTATTAACAAATTTATTTAACAATTGTAGCTTGACAAACACATTCTGGATAGAGGGGATATAGCAGTGAACAATAATGGTGATGATAATGAAGAGTAGCCTTTCCCCAGTATCCACCAGTTGAAAGGAGCATCCTTTAACATCAATGAATGATCAGGGGTGGAAATATCCCTTTCCTGGAGATGGATTCTACAGTGTGATAAAACTACCACTAAAGTTATCTAGCTTCCTTCCTCCCAAATTCTTATTCCACAGACAATCTTTAGGTGTTAAGTTAGGTTTCCTAGAGACCTTCAAAGTAGGAGGATTGGTTGTGGCTCCATGATCACGCATCACCTTGACAGAGTGGGTGCACATGTGCCCATTATTAGTGAAGAGTTTGGCCTCTAGGGGCTGGCTTGATGGCATGGTGGTTAAGTTCACATGCTCCGCTTTGGCAGCCTGGGGTTCCCGGGTTTGGATCCCGGGCACGGACCTACACACCGCTCATCAAGCCATGCTGTGGGAGTGTCCCACACATAAAATAGGGGAAGATTGGCACAGACATTAGCTCAGGGCTGATCTTCCTCACAAAAAAAAAAAAGAATTTGGCCTCTGGGCCCTCCGTATCCTGTGTGATGCAGTCCCTGTGAATTCATTCTCTGGACCACGTCACCCTGTAAACTTAATCCAATGAAGTGTTGGACCTGTGGCTTTGACAGTCGACCTTGAAGGAACCAAGCAGGGTGTGGCCTCCATAGTCACCTACAGTGATCCTTACCTTGGGGTCCCCTGGGAAGGGTACCTTAGGGCTGCACACGGTCCCTTCCCCACAGGGGCAATGGGGTTGGAAAAAAACAACAGGCCAGGGGGTAAGGGTGGGACAGGGGCCAAACCTCTCCCAGCAGCACAACTTTCTGTATGAATTATATAAGTTACTTAAATTGGCTCTGCCTCAGTTTCCACATTCGCAAAATGAGACTATCTCATACAGCTGTTGTGAGGATTAAATGAGTGAATTTCACTTAAAGCATTTAGCACAGTACATTCTAAGTTATCTATACATGTTAGTTATTGTTGTTCAAATCCCATCTGTTATTCACTTGCTGAATAACCTTTAGAAAGTTAATTCACTTTTCTGCACCCTTGTTTCCTTTTCTGTAGAAAGAAGATAATAAAATGGTACCAAAAGCAACTGTCATATGGAATAATGGAATTAATATTAGTGAAGTGATTCACACAGGGTGGGCATTTAGTGTTTTATTGTTGTGATGTGTTGCTGTGAAGGAGGAGGCCCTCAGCTCCAGGCTGCACAGGCAGAAGCAAGGATATTACTTCAGCCTGAGGGTCCCCATTCCCATCAGCAGAGCCCAGGCTTACTGGAGTCTCCAAGAAAAGGTCAGACACTAGGTCAGGAACAAGGAAACTGCACTCCGGTGAGCACTGGGCAAACAGTCAAGGCAGTGGACCCCCATGTCTTAATTCTGAAAACAGGCCACAGAGGCCTGGCGAAGGAGGTTTGTGGGAAGGTGTAGATATGAGATCCATCCATGGCATTGTAGAATGAGAACTGAACAGTCTTATACTCCAGGAAAACCTCTACTCTTTGAGGAGGGTTGGAAATTGTTAGATTGGTCCAGGGTTCAGTGAGTGCCAGATAGTCCTTCCCATCAGACAGCCCCATAGTCCAGAATCCATTCTTGGGTGCTATAGAAACACTTTTTTTCATCTCCACATTCTCCTTACGCACCCCGACGTACCACTCTTTCCTGTCCCCCACGTCCACTTCCCAGAAATGTCTCCCTGAAGTGCAGCTTTTGCAACTAAGTATCCTGTAACGGCAAACAAACTTCTTAAGGCTGGCTGGCATATTCCCTCGTTCATCTGTCCACCACAGCTCCTCTGGTTGTCAGAAAGAAGGAGGACGGGGTTTGCTGTGTTCGGATCCAGAATCACATCCGCTGCAGAGAGTGTGGGGATGGGATGTGGGGTCAGCAATTTTTCTTAGACCTCAGAGCCTCAGCCTACAAGACTTGGGTCTGGCTGAGGAGGTCCAAGTCCAGAGCCTGGTGTCCCCAGCCTGCCCTGAAGGTGACCCTCTCAACAACACCAAAAGAAAGACCCAGGAGTCTTGTGTTTAGTGAAGTAGAGTGATGAGGGTCAGGGTCTGCCTAACCAGACATCTGAGTTTTCTCCTTCCTTCCATCTTTTTCCTACTTCCCTCCCCAAAATTACTCTACTCTTCTTTATAGTCACATGGATTTACCTTTCAATCCTTGGTCTACCACTCCTGAGCTGAATATTTTTCCTTTTCTGCAGTCTCTTTTTCAATATTACCAAGCTATATAATATCTTTGAGCCTTAATTTGCTTATCTGGAAAATGGGGATAAAAATACTAATCTTGAGGGTAGCAAAAGACAACACATGTTTTATATATAGCCAGGGCTGGGCATGGAGGAAGTGCCTGACATTATAATAGCTCCATGCCTTTTCTGTGCTAGAGGCCATATTAGGGGCTTTCTGCACTCCCAGATCCACCTTCCACCTTTCCCTACCCTCTCCCGGACCTCAGGAATCTATCCTCTATGGACAGCATCACTGGGCTCCCTTGACTCTGGTTACCTGTTGGGTTTGGCCAATGAGAGGTACTACCTGAAGATTGGAAAGAGAAAGAAAAGAGAGACACAACATTTTTTTCCCCCACTTCCTCCCTGTCCTTATCAGATGGTGATGCTCTATCAAATGCACAACTCCTCTCAAGCAGCCGTGTCCTTGAGCTACAGCTTCCTCTGGGCTCCAGTAACTGCTCCCTCTCCCTATTCCTTCAAGTCTAGGGGTGGTGACAGCTTCCCACTACTGTGAGCCCTGGGGCACCTCACATTCCCTTGTTGGTTTCCCTTAAGCCCACTCTCACCTTTGTAAATTGTTCCTTTTAGAAACCTTCTTCAATCACCCAGTTTGAACATTCATCTCTTTCTTGTTGCTTTTTTGACCAATACACATTCGTTACCTCATTTACAGTTTACCTCAACCCTCACATAATAGGGATTATGATCATCATTTAAAAATTAGGAGACTAATTTTCAAAAACATTAAGTAACTTGGAGACACACAGCAGCAGGAGGTGGCATAGGAAGCTTGGGAAAAGCCAAGACCTTTGCTCATTACCTTCTCTCCTTGGTCATTCCACATCCTCACTCTCCCTCTCCTTTGTTCACTCTGCCTCTCCTTTCCCTCAGCTCTACCATTTATGCCTCTTCTTTCCCATGAAGATCTGTGGAAGCCCAGGAGAGCCATTCTCCCTGGTTCTCTGGGCTCTCAGCAGGAAGGCCCTGGAGATGGGCACACCTTTGAGACCAGGACCTCAAGTGACCCACCCAGAACTCTCCTAGTCATGGGGACTTCTCTTTTCAGAATCTAAAGATTTGGATAAGAAAAGGGAATATGATCCCTCAGGTTGTTATCCTAGGGAACATACAGTGATTCACTCACCAGCTTGGAAGATGATCATCTTCCATTCTGAAAGGCAAGAGACATAAATATGCAAAGGGCATTATTTCCCCTCACCAGTTCTCCTCACTAAGCCTTTTCTCTTTCCCTTTCTTCAGTGTCTTCCAATGTTCAGCTTCCTTCCTCTACAGCTCTGCTGTATCAGCCATACTATCTCTCAGAAATGGTGTACTTCCTTCCCTCTGTCATGCTCGAGCTGCAGGCAACATGACCAGGCTTTTCTAGGGTGTGGGAATGTGTGCCAGCAGGGTGAGGAGTGGCTGAAAATGCCTAGATGCTGTATCTGGAAGGTCCTCTCTGATGCTCCAGAAAATCAGTGGTGGTGTCCCCCACAGAAAATGAGCCTCTGGACTAGATGTGATTATTCCTACTGGGAATGCCAATGGGTCACACAGCAGAGAAACGGTTTAAATGCTTAGTACACAGGTGCCAGGAAACTCAGAGAACATCAGGATCACTCACCAGCATAGGCCTGAGACTTCTTTCTACCTACAATGGAAGAAAGGTAGTGATGTCACCTGAACTATGTCATTTCTGAGTTGTTTCCTTTCTCTTCCTTTGCACACATCTAATCTTTCTTTTTGACTCCCACCCCTCCTACCTTCTCTCTCTGCCTGTTCAATCCTCTCCTCCTTATCAAATCTGAGAACATCAACTGCATGCTGATGATACCACAGGCACCATGTAAGTGCTTTCCCAGCTGAGATTCGGCTGATCTATTTTGTATGTATCTACATTCCCACGCCTGGGCATAGGGGTCACTGTGTGTACACGTGTCTGTGTATATGCACTAGAATCCACGTGTCTCAAGCTGTATTATGTCCTGTCTACTTCAGAAAAGAACTGGGCAACTTAATAAGGAAATTTCAGATACTATTTTTTTAAAAGGAGTTCTCATAAACATACGGGAACTGAGCCACTGTGGCCATTCCTTTTCTTAAGAGACAGTTTTCTCTTTCGTTCTTCTCTGATTTTCTCATTCTTTTAAATCTTACATTCTTTTTTTCCTCTCAGCAGACTACAGACTATGTAAAGCTACTAGTGAGGTTCCCAGCATAGAGAAGACAATTCATCTAGAGAGTTCCTTCCCCTTCCTCCTCCTTTCCTTTCAAATGACCCCTGGATATTCCCTGGTGCCTTGCTGGGCTGGAGATTCTGTGGGGCTCTAGATGAGAGAGACTGAGGCCCTTTTCTCCATTAAAAAAATATTACTTCCCCATGCTTCCCCACAATCAGCCACCCTTATTTCTTTCCCTCCATAAAGGGATCCTGGACATTTCTCAGCCCTGGGCAGAGTAAGGCTGAAGAAAGAGGCTGGGAAATATCCCAGCAGAGAGTCTTTGATACGAATTCAGAGAAAATGAAAGAGCCGCTCATGAGCCACGTACTGGATCTTTCTCCACTCTGCCATGGAAGAAACGTGAAGAGGCATTAAGATGCTTAAAGCAGCAATAGGGAGACATATATGGGTCTCTGGGGAAATAGGACTTGCTGAGTTCACGCTGGAGCATCGTTGAAAAATAAGCGGGAAACAAAAATTACTGTTATGGGGATGGAATGGGGAGGATCTTTGGAAAATAAACCTTACATATGACCCAGTGCAGAGGTGGATGCAAGGGTGGGGAGCGGGTGAGGTCATCAGGTAACCTCACCTAAGCCAGGGCCTTAGGTTCCCTTCCTGGTGAGATATCTCTTGCCCTTCGTTGCAGACCCTTTTCTACTTGCTCTCTCTCTTTCCCCTTCTGCTGTTGCCACAGGAAGTAACCCATCACTGCAAGAGGCAGCAACTAGACAGGCAGGGTTCCCGACAAAGCCAAGATCCAGGGCTGGGCCCTCTGCAAGGAGTCTGCAATGGAAGGGAGCTTTAGCCTCTCACACCCAGGAAGATTGGCACAGAGTTGATCTCAGGACATTAAATGGTCCCTCTCCTTCTAGAGTCTCAGCAAAGTTTGGTTAAGACTTCCGTAAACTCTTACTATAACATAATACTATTACTTGTCTTGATATGCCTGCTTCTCACATGTGAATAGGAGTTACTTGAGCATCAGAATCATATGTTTTTTTCTAATTTAATTTTTCAACAGGTTACCTTTACGTGGTTCAAATATCAAAATAATATAAAAAGTCATCCAAGTCTCCCATCCACTCCCTCCCCCCTCCCTCCATTTATTAGCCTCTCATTAGTCAGCTTAGTACAGTGGTTGAGAATAGGAACTTTGGAGCTGGAGAGCCTGTGTTCAAATTCTGGCTCCTCCACTTGACTGGCAGTGTGATCTTGGACTAATTACTTCACTGCTCTGTTCCCGGTGCCCTAATTTGTAACATAGGGTAATAACAGTACCTCATTCATAAGGTTAAAGGATTCAATTAATGCTTATTAAGTGCCTGATACAGTGAGTGCTATGCAAATGTGTATTAAATTTTAAAAATATAAATATATTCTTATCTTTTCTTGTTTACGCTGAAGATAGCATTCTATACAAACTGCTCTGCATCTGGCTTCTTCTGTCCATCTTGGAGATCCTGCCATATTAGTAAAGAGAGATTGTCTGTGTTTTCTTTCCCAGCTGTGCAATATTCCGTTGCATAAAAGTTCCCCATTGATGGACATTTGCATAGTTTCTAACTTTTTGCTATTATAATTAATGCACAAGAAATAACATTTTACATGAGTCATTTCATATGAATGCAAGTATATCTGTCAGAGAAGTTCCTGGAAGTGGAATTTTGGATCAATATATAAGTAGTTTGGAGAAATACTGCTCTATTGCCCCCAATAGAAGTTGTGTCACTTTGTATCAAAAATATAGCGAATTATACCATCAAATGTCTCAGAGTAACTGTCTCCTAACAATCCTGCCATCAAAATGTCTGATCTGCCACCTCGGTCTTGTTTTGTTGCCAATCTCACAAGTGGAAATTTTTTTTTTTTTTTTTGCTGAAGATTAGCCCTGAGGTAACAGCTGTTGCCAACCCTCCTCTTTTTTTTTTTTGTATTGAGGGAGATGTTAGCAGTGAGCTAACATCTGTGCCAATCTTCCTCTACTTTGTATGTGGGATGCCTCCACAGCATGGCTGATGAGTGGAGTAGGTCCGCGCCTGGGATCTGAACCTGCAAACTGAGGCCACTGAAGCAGAGCGCGCAAAAATTGAACCGCTGGTCCAAGGGGCCAGCCACAATCTTTCTCTATTTTTTATATGTGGGTCGCCACCACAGCATGGCTGATGGCTGATGTAGGTCCACGCCTGGGAATGGAACCCACAAACCAGGGCCTCCGAAGTGGAACATGCTGAACTATGCCCCACTATGCCATGGGGCCAGCCCCTGCAAAAAGTTTTAATGCATGTTCCTCTGTTGAGTGAGATGGAACCTCATCTCATGTGTTATTTCCTTTTCTGTGAATTTTGCTCACTTTTCTACTGGGTTATTTTACATTTTAAGGAGATTAGCTCTTTCTCTATGATATGAGTTGTACATATTTTTTCCCATTTTGTCATTTATCTTTGCTTAAGGGTCTGATCTTTACCATTTTCCCCAATTTCCCATTGCCTGTTACAATTTCTGGTATAGGAAATACACAGTAAATACTTGTGACATAAACATCTTTATGGGGAAAAGAAACATCCCTGGAGTAAGAAAGAGACTCTGGATCCCTGCTCTGTGGCTTATATTCACTGCAAAGACCCGAGTCAGCAACAGAGAATCACACATCCTCCTTCTTTCAACGGCCACAGCTCAGCACTGTATACTTGAGGCTAAGCAGGTACTGACTTGCATTGGAAACCCTGGTGGTCTTTTCCTGGCTGAGGAGGGGATTTCTGATGATACAGGACACCCCTTCCACAGAGCTGCCTTTCACAATCACAGGTGCTGCGACTGCATATAGACCATCTCCATCTGCAACCAAAGATGCTGGCACATTTGTCATGTCCTCTCCCTTGGCAATTCTCCACTGTATTTGGGACCAGTGATACTAGTCTGTTGACACCACTCCAGATGTATCCCTTCATCCTCATAAGCCTTCGTTTCAATGTGAAGATCAGAACCAGCATGATGGAAGGATAAATGAGCCTGAATTCTTTGGAGCCTCCTGTATCGGTCAGGGTCTCAACAGGAATTGAATGGCACACTCACATTAGATAATTGAAGGGTGATTTCATTAATGAGCTGTTTACAAAAGCATGGTCATGGTGAGGCGAAATCTACATGGGACAGAGCAATACCCTGGGGCCAGGAACAGTGGAGTTGTTACCAACCACCTCTAAACTCAAAGGGAGGCAGAATGGAAGCTGTTTTAACACCTAACAGAAGAGTCATGTAGAAAGGGTTTTCTTGAGAGGAGCTGTGATCTTCAGGAAGGGAAAGCAGCCAGCTAGAAGTGGTCTTGCAGGGGGAAAGCAAGGGGGATAAGTACATACACTTCTTTCTCCTCTCTCCCTCCTTCCATCTTCTGCTATGGTTCCTTATTGACCAAACCCATGCAGAAGCCACAGAGCAAGAGAGTGCCCTGAGAAAGAGAAATACAACTCTTGACGTCTGGACATTGACCTCACTTGGTGTTCTCCTGTTGAACAAAACTAATTTCATGGAACATCAATATCCATCAAGGGCACTTTGTCATTATGATGGGTCAGGACAAAAACAACACCACTTACACATTGTGTTTGAATAAAGAGAAAAACATGAACACTGTCCAAACCACAGTTGTGACCAAACTTTTCCCTATCCTGGCTACGAGTAACTGCTGCTCCTTTCCCATTTACAACTTTAGCCTCACTCTAGTCTTCCTCCTAGGTAGGATTTATTAAGACATCTACCTACAGAATCATACCCTCCACCTTCAGAACAGCATCCAATCCAGAGCAAAGCCCCATTTCCATAAACCCTTCCCCAACTCATCTAACAGAAGCCCAAATTCTATGCCAAGTCTTCTCTAACACCCTCTTACTGAGACACTCCACGGTTCCCAGATGACATGCACTCTCCCTCCCTGCAACAAGTACTACCTGCAACTTGGTCAACTCCAGGTGTGTTCCTGGGGGCCTTTGGTGGGAGAATATTGGTAGCACAGATGTCGAAGTACAAGTCACCATCCCTGGGCCCACAGCAGCGTGCTCCTGGAGGGGCTAGAGAATCTATCTGGAACACAACTGAACTGAAACGACTGTGTGCCATCACTGAGGAGATATTTTCTTCTCCTTCCTATCCCTGACCTTCCACTACCCTGCTTAGAGCCTGGAGGCCACTATGAGGGAGTTCATACTTGATATTATAGGGCATAGGAAGGATTCTTCCTGGAGGAAAACCTGTATCTTTCCCAAGGGCTTCATAGAAACAAAGAGGGAAGGCAGTGGAGGCTGTTCCTAGTGACTAGCCAGGATGCTCTGAGGGGGACTGGGAGCATGAATGCTTCATCTGCCCACCAGGTCCCACAGAGGAATGAGCTCAGAACAAAACCTGTAGCCTCACCTGCAACCTTCACTTCCACCATGGCTTTTCAGAGAAGTTGACACCTTGGAAATAACACAGGTAGTTTCTGCTGTCAGAGGCTCTGATGTAAATTCAGAGAGTGGCCTTCCCTTCAGTGACGTCATCGCTTAAAATCAAAGTTCTCCCTGGATACTCTTCCATCTGTTGGTCTTCTACTTCCTACCCATTTGCATACTCCAATACTACCTCACTAAGACTGGATCTCTCCAGAATCAGCTCCATGGTCTCTGCGCTCATATTTGGGGACAGATGGCAGGGCAGATCAGCATCTTCACCCACCATGGCCTAGATGTGGGCCCAGGGTGTCCTATCACGGCAAACTGAGCTGGTCAGTAAAAGGAGAAGCTCCATGAGAGGCAGTTGGGGCCATGAGGGTAAGGGAGGGGTCTCAGCCAGGGAGGGTGAGGTATGAAAAACCTAGAGAGGAACACGATCTTAACAGAAGTACAGGTTGTCTTAAGGGCATGTGCACCTTCAGTTTGGGATGGGACTTCCAGGTATGAGAAGTTGTCAGAGGTTCTGAGTGGACACTTATAGGTAGTTGTCTGGTTCAGATGCACAAAATCAGAATGTTCCCTACTTGTAGAAGGGGTAAGCAACTGGACCAAAACAAGGCAGACAAGGAGGATGAGCAGAGGGAAGTCTAGGGAACTTTCCATTTTCATGTGTGCTGCAGAGAGACCAGAAAGAGTCAGGCAGAAACTATGACTTGGAAGATGTCAAATTTCACGTCAAACCTCTCCAGGGCTGATTTGGTGAAACACACAGTCACTAGTGTGGTGACTCAAAATCCTCTTCTGCCAAAATGTCTGCTTGGGAGTCTCTTTACCTTTGAGTTCCAACTTGGAAAATCACCCACAAAAATATGTAATGTTAAATGTACATGCATTAACCCTAATCCACCAGGGAATCTCTTTCTATTCTTCAAACACGCCACACATACTTCTTTCTCTAGGCTTTGGCACTGCTGTTCTCTCTACTTGAAATGCTTTTCCCCCAGGTGGTCCTATGACTTGCTCCCCTACATCATCACCACCCTATTGTAAATTGCAACTTCTGATGCGATGTTCCTTACTCTAATTGATTTATCTCCTGAGCACGTATCATCATGTGCCACACCATATATTTTACTATTTATTTAGTTGTCTTGTCTGTGTCCCTCCACCAGAAGGTAGGTTCTTGGAAAATGGGGAATTTCTGTTTTGTTCACTTTTGTGCCCCGGCGCCCAGCGTAGTAACTGGCACATTGTTACCGCTCATGGATCTTTATTGAGTTAATAAACGAATGAATGAATGGACTGAATAGAGCAGCCCAGAGGGAAGCTGGAGAGTGAGGGGTCCAGGATGAGGGTGAAGAAATAGCCTCAGACGGGAGAAAGGACATGTGCTCTGTTGAAACCAGAGGAAACAGACCAGGAGGGGCAGTGCAGATGGTGGGGCAGGAAGTGTGGGACCTCCCCCTTCTATCTTCTCTCTTAGGTGGGGGGTTGCATCACCGTCAGAGACATGGGGAAAGGATGTGGCGATGAGGATAACGGCTAATGTTCACTGATCACAGCTATGTGGTACATTCTGTACTGGATGCTCTCCACACCTTGTCTCATTCCTTAACATCTGCTCAGTGTAGGGTGTAATTACCTCAATTTCTAGGTGATGATAATAGGTTCAGAGAGGTTAAGGAACCTGTTTCCATTTGTCTGAGTAAGTAGGATAAACAGGGGCCAAGCAGGTGTGCTAAACAGGCAGAGGAAATGGGCACAGACAGGTGAAACTGAATGATGGGTTTGGGGCACTGCAGGACGTGTGATCAGGCCAGTGCAGGATGGCACATGGCAGGGAGTGTCCAAGGTTGGACAGAAATAGGAGGACTGGACTGTTGAGTGCCTGCAATGCAAGGATAAAATGTCCAGGGATTAGACTTTATCATTTAGGGTGGTGTTTCTTCACCTGAGTTATGTAAAAAACTTGCTTAGACAAAAACTAATTTCTAGATACATCTGAAAATATATCTTCAATCTACTGAGGGAACCAATTTGAAAATACAACATTAAAAGTTAAAATCTGGGGCCGGCCCGGTGACGCAAACAGTTAAGTGCACGTGCTCTGCTGCGGGGGCCCTGGGTTCACCAGTTTGGATCCCGGGCGCGCACCGACGCACTGCTTGTCAAGCCATGCTGCGGCTGCGTCCCATATAAAGTGGAGGAAGATGGGCACAGATGTTAACCCAGGGCCAGTCTTCCTCAGCAAAAACAAAGAGGACGATTGGCAGATGTTAGCACAGGGCTGATCTCACACACGCACACACAATAAGGTTAAAATCTGTCAGTGGGGAGTTCATCTGTCACTGATGGGATTATAAACATAGCAGTGAGCTTGGAAACTAGAACCACTCAGTGATAATTGATTACAAGGATGTTAACCAGGTGATACAGAGTTGGCTTAGGTTGTGTTTGTTTAGATTCAAATTTGACATTAAGACAATTTTTCAAAAAAATTTGAAAATTCTTTTAGAATGTACAAATCTCTATAGCATCTCCCTCCCCAGTAAGACTGCAGAGGGCAATAGGAAGCCACAGGCGGTTTGGGAACTCAGAGGAATGTAGTCAGATGTCTGTTTTAGCAAGTATACTCTGAAACTCGAGACTATGGACAGTATTGTAATAACTTTTAAAAAGCAATGCGTTATTTATGCTGGTTGCTTTTCAGATTTCTTGTCCGTTTCCTGGTATTTATTTAAACTAAAAGTCTTAATAGGAAAAGGACAGCAGTAGCTCTTGGAGGAAGGGAAGCAGAAACCAGAGAGGTAGAGTGGTTTGTTGGCGAAGCAGTGAAGCGAAGGGTTGTGGTAAACTGAGTCCCAGGGATCTGTGATAAAAGAAGAGAGGAAAATTGAGGAAGGCGGTGCATGCTGAGAAGGGGCCCTGGGCTAAGCAGTAGAAAGGACTTGCCATGAGAGGTAGGTGGGAAAGGAGCCCACCTGGGTGGGTGGTGGCAGCCTTGAGGAATCAAGGGTACACAGGAGGAAGAACAGGCTGTCAGGAAAGGATATGGAGCTCAGCTTTGGACACAGGTTTTAAAAATCTTTGGGGCACCCTTGAGGTGTGAGCCAGAGATATTGGGATTATACGGAGAAATCCAGATTGTGTAGAAGTGAGCAAAGCCTCAGGGGAAAGAATCAGGTTCAAGGCACATATTAAATGAGAAAGATGAAGTCTTCAATTAAAAACAAAAATTCCAGTTTAGTCACCACCCACTTTCTGGGCTTTTCTCCAGCTTAAAGTTGAACAAAGAAACCTCATGAGATAACTGGCACCTGAGAGGGTCCCAAATCATACACAGAGGAGAGGGAAGCACAGAACTTACTGAGCTCTCTTTGGAGTTTCTCTGCAAAAGATCAAGAAGTAATCAGTACCGTCCATCACACAGCAGCCCGGTCTACTGGGCAACGGGGCCTCTGGGAGACCCCTTCCTGGGCTGTGTCTGCAGTGAATCCTGGGAGCTGTCCCAGAACTAGGAACACTAGGGCACAGTCAGGGTCACAGGTAGGGAAGGAAATGGAGCAGGGTTGGTGGTAGCAAGTGAGGAAGAACTGCATTAAACCCCTCACTGAGAATCACCTTGAATCACCTAAAGAATTTCACTTCTTTGGCTAAGATGCTTTAACGGACTTGTCCAAGCTCAGAGCTAGTTGGTTTTCTTATTTCTAGACTACTGTCTTTCCCTGGCCCCAAGTTGCTCCTGCTTAACTCTGAGAGTCAGATGTGGAGGCTTCCCCCAAGACACACACACACACACTTGCCCCTCAATAGAGAATTCTTGGCCTCCCATCACCTTCTCGCATGAAAACTAGAGAGTTCTCTGAAGTGAGGAAGATCACAGAGGAGGAGGGGAAGAATCTCTCCTTCATTCCTCCATATGTTGCTCCTTCCTGGGAAAAGATCACACTTCAGAATCCTCGTTGTTCCCTCTCTCTAAGACCCCAATAACAACACAGGGTGGTTATTCAGTGCTCCCTCTGCTCTAGGGGCTGTGTGCATTCCCATGGCTCATGAAAACCCCTAGGGGGTGAGTTTTTGTTTATCCTTCTCAGTGCACCAAACGTGCCAAGGAGGTCTGATCCCAACTTTTGTAGGAAACTGAGGCTGAGAGAAGTTCAATGACTGGATCAGAGTCACTCGGCTAGTGAGCTGCAATGCCAGGGTTGAACCCGGCTCTGTCTGCATGTGAAGCCTGACCTCTGAACAGTCTCTGCTGTGCAGCAGGCCCTGCCCTCTTTGCCTTGGCCTGCCCTGACCGTCCACACTGACCCTGGGGAAGCAGGAGATCAGCTCAGACTGGCCAGTTATAGGGTGAATCTACTTCTGCACAGACCCCTGATGACCACAGCCAGCCAATGAGAGCAGGAGAGACAGCGACAGCCAGCTGAGAACCAGCACAGAAAACTGACAAGTTCCACGACCAAAGATCAGGAGGTCTCTGTCCTCCCCCCAGAGTTTATTTTCCCCAAGAGTGTAACATGGAAGGAGTAATATGGTTTTCTTGTTCCCTCTAAGGCTTTCCTTCACACTTACCTCACATAGAATGTTCCTTGTCCTTCTACTTCTCCTTTCTTCTAGAACTCAGAGTTGAGTGATCCGAAATGTTTATTCTCTGGAGTTTGTCACACTTGGGTCACAGGAGCAGATGAGCCTGGCTCACAGGCTGGACCAGGAGAGGCCAGGCAGGGGCGTGCACAGTAGCCCCCTCTCTCTGCCTGCAGAGACAGGTCAGCTGCAGATCCAGCAAACACTGCTGCTGAGATGGGAGAAGGGAAAAGCCAG